TTCTGTCACTCTTTTCCGCTCACACTCTTTATTCTCTTTTGGGCACTCTCAAATCTGTTTTCTCTCCATCTTCTCCTATTTCTCCTCTCTTTCTCTTACCATATTCACTCGTATCTTTGCATGCCCCCTTCTTTCTGCCACCCTCTCCTCTATTCCATTCTATCTCCTTTTATCTTCTAGCTCTATCTGGCTGTCTTCCCTCAATACCTGCCCTTTAAATAAATCTCAGCAATGGCTGAAGAAAAGCTCTATAGACAGCTGGCCAGCTGAGCAAGGCTGGGCATATCACCTCTAGGAGCTGTGTGATCCCATTCTCCTTCCAGTGCTGGGCTGCTTCTCTCTGGGTTTTTAGCTTAGGCTAAACATGATGTCCTCACATTAAGGGCCTCCATGTTACACGTGCTGTGAATTCCAGTTATTAATAAATGAGCTTTGGGTGGAGATGGTGTGAAAGTTAAATATTCTGTCACGTGGAAGTGATACTTTGAGATATGATTTTTTCAAAGAAAAGAGACAAATGTTTTTAAAGAAGTTCTTGTGAATAAGTACAGGGAATAAATTTTGAAATAGCTAAGTTTAATTACCAACAAAAAATTAGAATACAAAATGTGTGTGTGTGTGTGTGTGTGTGTGTGTGTGTGTGTGTAAGGAGGGAGGGAGGGAGGGAGATAAGAGAATGGTCAAAGAATATGAATAGGAATTTATAGAATAGAAAACCATACAGTCAATAAATACATGAAAAGATGTTCAACTAGCCCTAGCTGGTTTGGTTCAGTGGATAGAGCGCTGACCTGTGGACTGAAGGGCCCCAGGTTTGATCCAGTCAAGGATCAAGTGGGCTTGATCCCCAGTAGGGGGCATGCAGAAGGCAGCCAATCAATGATTCTCTCTCATCATTGATGTTTCTATCTCTCCCTCTCCTTCCTTCATCTCTGAAATCAATAATAATAATTTAAAAAGATGTTCAACTACATTAGTAAATGGGGAAAAGCAAATTAAAATAATGCAATATTATTTTACATTCATCAAATTGCAAAATTTAAAAGCCTAGGGTTGGTGAGGGCGCAGAGAAATGAGTACTTTTATACACTGCTTGGCATGAGGGAGCAGAGTATAATAAAATTGGAAAGCAGTTTGGCCATATCTAGCAAAGTTGAAAACCTACACATATTATGACTCAGTGGTCTAGATATACACTTTTTATTTTTTACTATATTTTTATTATTTTCATAGAGGAAGAGAGAGAAAGAGATAGATGAGAGATAGAAACATCAATGATGAGAGAGAATCATTGATTAGCTGCCTCCTGCATGCCCCCTACTGGGGATCGGGCCTGCAACCTGGGCATGTGCCCCTGACTGGAATCGAACCCAGGACCCTTCAGTCCACAGGCCGATGCTCTATCCACTGAGCCAAACCAGCTAGGGCCTAAATGTACACTTTTTAAGAACACTTGGGCATAAGAAAACATGTATAAAGATATTTATTGCAGCCATTGTGGAAAATGTAAAACAACTTAGTAGGGGAATGGATAAACTATCAGTTAGTCATTAAAATAATCGATCTATATCAATATGTTTCAGTATGAATAAATATTAAAAACAATGTTGAACGGGGAAAGAAACAATGACAAAAAATTATACATGCTTCAAACTGCATAAACATGAGTCTAAAAGATGTTTCTAGGCAGTGCAGTTGCACATTTGTTTGAGAGCAGTATCCATAAAGTGAATGGATGTGTTTATGCTGTTTTTTATATAAAAAACTATTGAAAGACACATAATAAAAAGGGTTTCTAAGAAAAAATAATTTATACAATATGATAGATACTGCTTGGATAAAAACTTTTAAAACAGAACAATATTATGTGTTTACAGGCACATACATAGGTAATAAAAGAATAAAAATAGGCGTGTGAAGCATATACACCGATTTCATTATTGTGGTTACGTCTAGAGAGGGAAATAAAATAGCCTGGAGAGGAAGAGGGAACTTTCGATGTCTAAAGCAAATATGACAAGTGTTAATATTTGTTTAATCTGGGTAGATGATACCCAGGTGTCATATGTATTCTATATGTATCTGTATATGAAAGTTCAGGATCTAAAATTTAAAAATAAAAACAAAAAAGTTTAGTACCTAAGAAACCGCTCCCTTTTCTGATTGGGTTTGTGCTCTACTCTTAAATACACATACACACACACACACACACACACAATCCAATAATGACTGAAGAATTTAAGGTTCAGAGATGGGACTTGCTCTCCAGGATTCTGGAACTCAGGACTCAAAAGCCCTGGCTCCCAGCCTGGTTCCGTTGATTGGAGCATCTTCCCATATACCAAAAGGTGGCGGAGCTTGATTTCTGGGCAGGGCACATACCCAAGTTGCCTGTTTCTATCCCTGGTTGGGACACATGCAGGAAGCAATCAATCTCTCTCTCTCTCTCTCTCTCTCTCTTTCTCCCCCCCCCCCCGCCCCCATCCTCTCTTCCTTTCTCTAAAATTTTTTTAAAAAAATCTCTGGTTCCAAGACAAGGTGTTTCTCAGCCATTAGACAACTGGCTGGAACATAAGTGAATTTCTCTTGATTTGTGATCTAGTTAAATTTCCAGCAAGGGTCTCGGTTAAGGAACAGGGTTTTGAGGAAATCTGTTTTATCACCTATTGATTTCTTAGCTTCAGTTCTTCATCCTCTGTAAGATGAGGGTACTGGTATAATTGTCTGACGTGTGTGTGTGTGTGTGTGTGTGTGTGTGTGTGTGTGTGTAGGGGAAAGGGCATTTATATTTCTTATGAGCATTTTGTATTGAGAGACTACTGTCAGCAAAGTTAGATTTTCCGGGGCCCGGGTGGCTGTGAGCAGGAACCTAAACTTCTCTACCCTTCGAGGAAACTTAGCAGGGAGAAAATGAGTTGGCTCCAACCCCAAAGAGCCATCTAATGCATATTCTTCAGCCCTCACCCTGGCCTCTGAGTCTCAGGAGTTGTATTGCCCTCCTCTTTCCTAGAGACTGGGTAACCCCCGTCTGGGTTGACAAACAGAGGGGTTGCAGCCCTAAGAAACAGGAGTGATAACATTAAGCCCTCTCAGCTCCAACCCTCCTCCTGGCCCTCACCAAGTGTTGAAGCCTGCCTTCTCTGCTGTGTCAGCCAGCTGGCAGGAGGAGGACAGGTTTGATGGTTTAATCACCCAGGGACACAAGTGGCTATTTTTAACTGCTCCAAAAAGGAGGAAGCTGACTCTGGATTGAATTGGACACAGGAATGTATTGGAAGCTTTAGCTCTTTCATGCTGCCCTCTCTACTCCAGACCCCTTCAGTAAGGGTCTATTAAATGTTTGTAACTCTGTCCTGTCTTTCCTGGCACAGAATTGTATAGCTACACTGAAAACCTGGAATTCACCACTAACAGGAGGTGCTTTGAAGAAGATTTCAAGACTCAAGGTGATTCCAGACCCTTATTTTTTTTCTTCATGATACCTTCACCTGATCTAGAAAAAAAACTAAAACAAAGTATGATCCTTCTTCATCCGCTCCATAACCGCTCCATAACCGTATAACTTCTCCATCCCCCCTTGCATAGGGGACAGAGTTTCCTATATCTCAGGGGGAGAGGCCCTGGAGTGGAAGCAAGAGAAGCCTGAGCTGTGTCCCCTTTCCTGATGTAAAGGGCCAAGAGGGCAGAGGGATGGGGAGGTGAGGCTGGGCTGGTGCCCTGCTGACTGGTAGAACCCTGTGCTTAGCCTAGTCCTTAACCTTAATGTTCAACCCTTGCTTCCAACTCTGCCTCACTCTCAATAGCATACTATGTAATAAAAGGCTAATATGCAAATTGTCCCCTCTGGCTGGCCAGCCAACCTCCTGCGTCCCCTCCCTCCACCCCACTGCCAGCCCAGGCTGGCTGGACCCCACCAGTGCACAAATTCGTGCACTGGGCCTCTAGTCTAATAATAATTTCATGTGTCCACACTGATTCTCTCAGACCTCCGTTCCCTTATTTGGTCAGTGGCAATTCAATTTTCAACTCAACAAGTGTGTGGTGAGTACCCTGTTCCATGCCAGAGATGCAGGAGGCAGGGGTGAAGGTGAATTTGCAGTGTCTTCAAAGAGATTATAGTTAGATAGCAGAAGGGAGATGTGTATATCACAAAACTAGCTCAGGCCAAGAGAAACTGGTAAGTGTCAAAAAAGAAGTAAAAAGTATCTTTAAGGATAGAACTTCTTCCTGGAGCATTTGTGAGAAAGAAGTAATTTTGTATTTGATCTGTAATGATCAACAGGAATTGCATAAGTAGGAATATAGAGGGAACACCTTGAAGAAAGACAGAAAGATAGAACAGTATAAGCTGTGTGTGGAGGATGGAGGGGATGTGCAAGAAGATGAGGCAGCAGAGTGGGTTCAGGCAAGAACTTTTTGGGTCATTTACTTTTCCCATCCCTTATTTTTCCTCAGCCAAATAAGGAAAGCTTTTAAAGAGAAGAATGTCTAGGGAGCTGAGATCAGAGGTGGCTATGCTGATAGGAGCTTTTCCAGGAAGGAAAGGCAGTGGTTGACACTGGATCTATATGGCCTGTCCCCAGTACAGGGCAAGGAATGGCTGGAGTTGGAGGAAGATGCCCAGAAGGCCTATGTGATGGGACTCCTGGACCGCCTGGAGGTGGTCAGTAGAGAGCGGCGACTGAAGGTGGCCCGAGCTGTTCTCTACCTGGCCCAAGGTGAGTGACCACCTTTGCCAACTTTAGAGGGGTGGAGACTAGGGATAAAAATGGTGTTATCAGGAGTAGGATAGGGCAGGTCATGCTGGAAAAGCAAGGTCCCTGCCTTTTAAGGACAGATCTCGTCACATACTAGGAGGAACCTGTTGCTTATGAAGAAGATGAGATGGTAGTAGGTACTGCCCTGGATCCCTTGGAATCAACCTTTATCTTACCAGGCATATCAGGATTTCTTATGGCTTCTCTTTTCCTTAACCTGGGCTATAATCGTATCTGGAGTCTAGCAAGAGTGTCAGTATGGCCAGAGCTGACAAAGCACTACCAGCTGAGCACGGAGACTTCTTTTATCATCGGTGACCTGGCCCTGACACGGAGGGACGGCAGGGTGTGCCACAGATGCACGTATGGACCCTCTGCATTGTTTATTGTTGGCATTTAGTAAGTTCAAGCCAAAATAGCAGCAGGAGTGGATGCTGTGAGTAATTTGGAGATGATCAGAACTCAATAAGATTGAGGAAAGTTTTCCAGAAAAGAACTGTTACCAGGTGTTGGAAAGAGAAATAAGATAGCCTAATTGGAATAGTAAAATTAACCCTGAAATTATAAATAAGAGGACTGTTGGCAGAACTGACGAGTTGAGAGCTAAAAACTATAGAAGTCATAAATGGAGAGGAAAGAGAGTGGACATGATATAAGGGGAAGGGAAGACTATAGCAAACAAATGCCCAACCATATCTATTGGGTCTGATACTATGACCAACTCCCAGGTGCCTCTGCCTTCACCTTCTTGCCTGAGGGCTTTCTCTGCAGCACACATAGTGTGGCCAGGAGTGCTGGGGAATTAATGTGCTCCCCTGGTCCAGCAGCGCTCCTCAGCGACTGACAGGAGATAGTGAGCAAACAGCCCGACTACCTCACCCTTCTTGAGTAAGATGATTTCGAGGTGTGTGTTTTATACTGTTTCCCAGAGCTTCTCCCCACCTGGGATTGAGCTCTGAGCTGCCTTCTCTTCCTTACCTCACTGCTGGTGTTTCCTGGGATCACCTAAATAAAATGCTTGTGGTTGAATTTTCACCTCTGGATCTACTTCTCAGAGAACTCAAACTTAAGATCGGCCATTGATGAGCACATGGGACCTAACTGGAGTCTGCCTTTCCTCTCCCCTGCTTCATTCTGGGAAGTTCTGGGGGGCCCTTGCCCTACACTTGTCAGCCAAATTATTGGACAGGATGTTGAAAGATGGTCCTAAAATCATGGGGCAGAGTGGAAAGAACTGGGAGAGTCCCTCCCCCTCCACCCTGTGGCACTGTCTGGTCCTTCAGGCACCTTTGGGGAATGTGATTCAGAGGTCGATGTGCTACACTGGTCCAGATACAACTGCTTCCTGCTCTATCAGATGGGGACCTTCTCAGCCTTCCTGGAGCTGCTCCACATGGAAATCGAGTAAGAAGCCTTAGGGGGGTGGGGGCGGCGCTGGCTGAGACAACCCCCTTCCTGTCCTAGGCTGCTTCATGTCCTATGCTGAGTCCCTTACCATAGAGACCCCTGTGTGGAGCTGGGTTTATTCACATGTTGGTCCAAAGCTTACACTGACAGTTCCCCTCCTCTCAGCCATATTCTCTGATATTCTGTCCTCCCCCAGGTTGGGCTCATCAGCTGCTTCTGCCCCGCTTACAGCTTCAATCCTGGGCTTCAGAGGCCTATCTTGGGTGTGTTGCCTTTTTATCCAAACCTTCTCAGCTCATCCTAACTCTGGAATCCATGAAGAAAGCTCTTCTGGCTGAAAACATGACCCAAGAGGGACAGGGCCAGTTCCTATCATGTGCCCAATTCTTTCCCTCGTGGGTTATAGCTCTAGAGGTGGCCTTATCTGCTCTTATCACTGTAGTGAACCCTCATTTTATCTCATGTCTATCACCCAGGAGTTTTAGATAGGGTGCAATCTGTTTATTATCCATCAAGTGTTGTGTAGCATCTATTTGGTGTCCAACACAGTACTAGCCACAGTGGGGATTACAAGAGGAGGGAATATCACAGACCCTACCCTTGCCCATCTTCATGTCCTATGCTGAGGTGACAGAGGAATTCTATGGGCTCCTTTACCTTAGACCAATTTCTTTTTATTTAGAATATATTTTTATTGATTTCAAAAAGGAAGGGAGAGGGAGAGAGAGCTAGAAACATCAATGATGCGAGAGAATCATTGTTCGGCTGCCTCCTGCACGCCCCCTACTGGGAATCAAGCCCGCAACCCAGGCATGTGCCCTTGACCAGATAAACCCCGGACCCTTCAGTCCTCAGTCCAATGCTCTATCCATTGGGCCAAACCAGCTAGGGCTAGACCAATTTCTATATAGCTACATAGCCAGGGAATAGCAGGTACTCATGTTTGTGTGTATGGTCTGTGAGAACACAGTGAGTAAAGAGGCCATATGGGTTCTCATTTTCTCCCTCCTTCCCATGGCAGCAACAGCCAGGCCTGTAGCAGCGCTGTTCGAAAACCAGCCATCTCCATTGCTGATAGCACAGAGCTCCGGTGAGTGGGGCTAGCCGTAGGATTGGAATGGGATGGTTAGCGATGGGTTACTCTTTACTCAAATTCCAGAGGCACCCAGACCACTAGAAGTTGCTAATTCCACTGGGTTGGACTCCCACAGAGACCATCACTGAGGTCTCTGGCTGTAGGCTGGGAGCTGCCTTGGGCACCTCTTGTGATCCTTCTATACCCCAGGGTGCTGCTGAGTGTCCTGTACCTACTGGTGGAAAATATCCGCCTGGAGCGAGAAACAGACTCCTGTGGGTGGAGGACGGCCAGGGAGACCTTCCGCACTGAATTGAGTAAGAAGTGGCCCTCAGGAAGGGTGAGGCTGGGGCTGGTGGTGGAGGGGAAGCCTAACATCTGCCTAAGGGAGACAGGCAGCCTTTCCTTTTTTATTTTTATTTTTAATTAACATCCTTTTAGGACAGAGATACGGCACAGCAGGCATGAGGGCCTGCCTGAATTGCCCCTATGTCTGAGCTAGCACCAAATGTCCTCTCTATACCATAGTTCCTTTGGTTGTCAATGGGGATAGGCACCCCTCTTCCATTCTATCACGAATCCCACGTGAAAAAATGTAAGTTGGTGTCATCAGAGAGGGATAAGATATGAAAGCCGACAGGATTTTAAAATATATTCATTGATGTGGGACAGTGACTCAAAATGCATTGAATCCTTCAGCCAGAAAGTAACATCGTTATTACTATTACTTTTAGTTTGGTATCTACCCAAGCTGTGGGAGGTGAGCCATGTACCTCCAGGGCCTCACTTCCTGCCCTGGAGGGGCTTCCCTCTGGGGACTCCCTAAGCCTCCTTCTCAGGACCAAGTACTCAAATTAATATATATATATATAAAATTGATTTCAGAGAGGAAGGGAGAGGGAGAGAGAGGAAAGGGGGAGAGAGATAGAAACATCAATGCTGAGAGAGAATCATTGATCGGCTGCCTCCTGCATGCCCTCCCCACTGGGGATGGAGCCCTGACTGGGAATCGAACTATGACCTCCTGGTTCATAGGTCGACCCTCAACCACTGAGCCACGCAGTCACTGGTCAGGCGGTACTCAAATTCGTTAGGGGTGGTGAGCGTGTCCAGAATCGGGATTACTGGGCAGGTTTTCCCTTACCTCAGTCTCACTTTCTCATTTGCCTCTCTCCACACCCTCCAGGCTTCTCCATGCATAATGAGGAGCCTTTTGCCCTTCTGCTTTTCTCCATGGTTACCAAGTTCTGTAGTGGCCTGGCTCCCCACTTCCCCATAAAGAAGGTCCTGCTTCTGCTTTGGAAGGTGGTCATGGTGAGTGGCTCATTCTCCTCACTCCTAACTCATCAGATCAGCAGTGCCCTCTGCTACCTCAGGTTCTTCTATTCTGATTCTGCAGGCAGGAGCTAGGCAGAAGACTCGGGCAGCTGTTAGCCAATGGAGGGACATCTAGGCCAGTGATGGCGAACCTATGACACGCGTGTCAGAGGTGACACGCAAACTCATTTTTTTGGTTGATTTTTCTTTGTTAAATGGCATTTAAATATATAAAATAAATATCAAAATATAAGTCTTTGTTTTACTATGGTTGCAAATATCAAAAAATTTCTATATGTGACACGGCACCAGAGTTAAGTTAGGGTTTTTCAAAATGCTGACACGCGGAGCTCAAAAGGTTTGCCATCACTGGGCTAGGCTGTCCTAGAGAAATCAGATCTTCTCCATTAGAGCAGGTTATCCGGTTCTGTTGGACTGACAAGATTTGCCACTCTGTGAATTGGGGTATCATTGCATCTTCCCCTGATAGAACTGATGTTTTGTGGAAAGAACACTGGCTAAAAGTTGGGAAATCTGGCCTCTGCTCATACTGACAACCTTGGGCAACTCTCTGTGCCTCAATTTCTCTAGCTATAAATGTGGGGGTTAGTGCCTGCCCTCCATCCAGATAAACACGAAGTCCTTATAAATGTATGGTTGTAGTTTTGTTACTAATTATTCAACCTGATCCTTCATCTCTGGCTCCCACCCCACAGGACTGGCTTTATAGGGGGAACTGCCTCTTAAAGTTCCCCAACTTCAAGAGACAGTTACCCCCCCCCCCCCGCCCGACTGCAGAGGAAATAGAGTGCCTGGGTTTAGCATCTGGATGTGTTTCTTAAAGAGGGAGATACATTTTCCTGGGTTGTTTTTTTTTAGGGGAGGCCCCTCGGAGTCCCTTTCCTAATTTCTGGTGATATTTCCAACCCTGAGTCAGTAAATAATGCTTTGTCCTGATGCCTGAGTTCCTCAGACCGGGCTAGTAACCACATTTGCCGCTTCCTGTTTTATTATTACTAATTAATTCGGGGTCTGAGGGGGACTGGAAGTGGTGGCTGTTCCTCTCCACCCATGCTTTCCTGGCCTTGCTCTCTCTGACTTCCCTCCCTTCCCCTTTCTTCTCTGTCCCTTTTTTTTGACCCCTTAGTTTACCCTCGGTGGATTTGAGCATCTACAGGCTCTCAAAGTACAGAAGCGGGCAGAATTGGGCCTGCCGCCACTGGCTGAGGACAGTATCCAGGTGGTGAAGAGCATGCGTGCCGCCTCCCCGCCCTCTTATACTCTGGACCTGGGGGAGTCTCAGCTGGCACCACCACCCTCCAAGTTGCGAGGCCGCCGTGGTTCTCGAAGGGTACGCACTAAAACAGACAGTGGGACACTAGCTGTCCAAAAATCAAGATTCTAAGCTGCTCTGGATGTGGGAGGAAAGGGCAGTAAATGACCCAGCTCATCCTGCCCCTGGTTGGCCCTGTGACCAACCTGAAACCTTGCAGTCTATACTTTGGCTTCTATCCCCCAGCCCTGACAGATGTCTGTGCTATCATGATATAACATTGTGATATCGCATTATAGATCCAGGTCTCGCCACAGGGTCATTGACCTGGACCTCCGCACCTGGAGTTCTTTAGCACCAGAACAAGAGTTAGGTTAGGGCAGTGGTCAGCAAACTGCGGCCCCTTGAGTGTGGCTCTTCCACAAAATACCACGTGCGGGCGCACACGTACAGTGCGATTGAAACTTCGTGGCCACACTCAAGGGGCCAAAGAGCCGCATGTGGCTCGCGAACCGTAGTTTGCCGACTACTGGGTTAGGGTATAAGGACCCAAAGCACCTGAACAGGTCTCCTAGAAAATCCCTGTACCTGGATGTGTGGCACTTTCCTATTTTCTCAGCAGCAAGAAGGTTTACTCTGGGTCAACCATACGTTTGTCTGGTCCCAGAACAAAAGGCTTACATGTGGGAGATGACAGGTTAGGATTCTAGGTATAGTCTGCATCTCTGGAAGGTAGAAATGACAAGTTGCACTGAGACAACCATGTTCCCATGAACTCATTTGCTTGATCTGCCTGAGTTCACCAACTATCGGTGTCAGGACCAGACAGTCGCACTCAGCTATCTAGCCTATTCTCTTCAGTGAGATTTTTTTAACCTTGATTTTTTTTGTTTTATCAAGTAATGTTTACTCATTATAGAAAATTTGGAACAAATATAAAATGAGAAGAAAGGAGAGAAAAATCACCCACAATCTTAACAACCAGAGGCAGTAACTGTTAACTTTTTGGCCTATTTCTGTCCAATCTTTTTCTTTCTGTGACAAAATTTAAAATTCCAAACTCGCTTCCCTCTGCCTAGCAGCAAGCTTCTGTTCTCTTCTTCCTCAGTCAGCCAGCTGGTGTATGCCCACAGAAGGCAAACTAATTGAATGTTCACTTAAGCAGAGCATAATTAGGAAGGAAAGTGCTGGTGTAAAAAAAAAAAAATGGCATCAGTTCTTTCTGAAAGCTAAGTAGCTGTGACTGGGATTATCTGTGCTCTGTTCCCTGTCTGTTGGCTTGGTTGTCTGAGAGCTGCCTGTCCTGGGATCGGGCCTGGTGGGGACAGTAGGGTTGAGGTTGGAAAGGGATATTCTCACAAGAGCTGGGTTCTTTTACTCCATGTTTCCTGATTTCTAACAGCCTGCGGGGGAGGGGGTGACCTCAGACAAGGATGCCCAGGGTGAGATCTCTGCATCCTTTCCTTCCCCACCCCAGCAACTCCTTACTAAGCAGGACAGCCTGGACATTTACAATGAAAGAGATCTCTTTAAGACTGAGGAACCAGCCACAGAAGAGGAAGAGGAGTCTGCTGGCGATGGAGAACGAACCTTGGACGGAGAGTTAGACCTGCTAGAACAGGACCCTCTGGTACCACCTCCACTTTCACAGGCAACCCTCTCTGCTGAGCGGGTGGCTTTCCCCAAGGGCCTGCCCTGGGCCCCAAAGGTCAGGTAGGTTTGAAAGATAGGGACCCTGAACTTTGGGGTTTCGATCATTGAAGACCCAGGGTGGTGTGGTCTTTGTGTTAAAGGCACAATAAGCTGGTCTGAGAGTCAGAACTTCTAGGTTTGAAGTTCTCTCTGTTGGCTGCTCTCTTCCCCAACTGCTCTGATCCTCCGATTGGAGGGGCAGGAGCCCAGAAAGGTTCTCTCTCTCAAGGTTTGCTTTTCTTCCCTTCTTTGGGGTTCATCTCCACCGTCCTCTCAGGCAGAAGGACATTGAGCACTTCTTGGAGCTAAGCAGGAACAAGTTCATCGGATTCACTCTGGGGCAGTAAGTGACCGAATCGTCAGAATGGCTATAGAGTGGTTCTTATGGGGCCAGAGTGGGTGGCTTGGAATGAGAAATTTTGCTGGGTAGTCACGATGCAACCTAGAACTATTAGGCCATGGGCAACTCCCAGTAACTACTTTGGGTTCTTTCCATGGAATTTTTTCCTTCCAGTTTCTTAAAAGAACTTTTATGCTCTTGGCTAGTGTAGGGCCTTGAGCAACAAGTCATTTCCCTCTTGGGCCTCAATTTCCTCATAAGAGTGTTGGATTACAAGGTCTCTAGGGGCCCTACCCGCTCTAATGGGCCAGGATTCTGTGAAGAAGAGACATGGTCAGAACAGATTTAGTCTTTCCCCCCATCTCCCCACCCTCATGAATCCTTCCCACTGGCCTCTACAAAACCTGAGAAGGCATTGTTATTGGTATTTCACAGTCAAAAGTGGCATTGGGCTACCTGCCACTCCCAGACAAAGTGAGTCCTCAAAAGACTATACAGAAACCCTAATTTCCAAACATTTCTGTAATTTTCTGTGTCCTAAAGCAATCACAGGGGATCTGGAAGCTGAAAGTGGCATGGTCTATGTGACTCCAGGGGGAATGAGTCGTTCTTTATACTTTTGAAGCTTATCTAGTTGCCTTGCATTTCACAGGGACACAGATACCTTGGTTGGATTGCCCAGGCCCATCCATGAGAGTGTGAAGACCCTAAAGCAGGTGACCAGGGTGGGCACTCAGTCTTCAGGGATAGTGAGCCATCAAGGCAAGTTGGATTAGTGGGGTCCTCGTACGGGCAGGATTCTTCTACCAGACACATTCTGAATCTATTCTACAATTCCCTGAAGGCGTTTTGGCCAAAGAGGAAGAAATCAGGTCTCTCCCTACTTACCAGTTTTCTACATTCAGATAGATAAGAAGGTTATTCTTTCTTCCTCTCATTCCTTTTCCCTCCTTCCACCTTTCTCTCTCTCTCTTCTCATTCTTCCCTTCCTCTCCTCTCACTTCTCTCTGCCTATAAGACAACTAACTTCCAAAGGTTCAGGATTGAGTAGCAGGCTACTACTCTACATCTAAAGTGTGTGAGCACAAAGACTAAGACACACAGACCTTGAATCCTCCCCTACCCCATCATCATCACTCCATGTACACGTACACATGCAGCAGAAACCTCCGGGCAGGGGTCCAGGGGCAAGGGCCTGTTCCTGACTGGCTGAAGGTAAATGCTTAGGTATTTGCTGCTCTTCAACAAATTGGGAACATGGAACAAACAAACACTGTATATGAAGCACTTCACTCAGTGTTAATGGTGCAAAGGTGAATAAGACGCCTGCCTTCAAATAGTTCATGGCCTATTTGGGATGACAGATCCATAAATAGGACATTTTCCTTGTCATTGGGGAAGTTAAACAAGAGGCTGGTACACATGAGATTGAGGCCCTCAGCCCCTTGTTGATGTCTTATCTTCCCCAGCACAAATACGTCTCCATCGCAGATGTTCAGATCAAGAATGAGGAGGAGCTGGAGAAGTGCCCCATGTCTTTGGTGAGTTAAAAGGGTCCTGCACAGGAAGGGGG